GGAACAATATTATTTCGAATGGTGCAGTCTATTTCATTTTATATTAGATGTGGAACAAAGCAGTTCGTTAGTGGGAACAAGTGTTTAGACTTTCATTTGAAAATAGTATTCCATTCGAATCTCATCAAAATTGTTTCCGCGTATTATTGCCAAGTTCATCATCCTCGGGAGTGTAAATACTTTGTCGGTCTCTTATCGTATACGTCGCGCTTCAATTAAAACTCGTCCAGGTCGAGTAGATAATCGACGTAGGCCGGGAATCACGGGTTTATTTGCTAAACCAGTCCTCAAGAATTACGTAACGCGACGGGTACCTAAAGTCTCGTCAATATTCCTAGCGTGTTCGAGTCAATATACCATCCGCGGGATAGAATTTAATTCTGTTTCCTTTTACGAAAGAGCCTTGCGGCTTATTACGTCGCTCTCAAGGCGGCCTGTGTATCTCTCCCCCTCCTCACCCTCTCCACGATTCTTTCTTCGTACCTGTTAAACTTCCATCCAACAAGTTTCGAATAGAATTCTTTTGCAAGCGCCTGTTAATAGCACCGCCCCGAAGAATGAATCCGCGCGAACGCTAAACGGAAACGGGGAGGGTGGACTTTCAGAATCGACAGTCTCCACAGTGGTACGCGAACCTGTAGATCGGGACAGCTTCTCCACCTGTCGCCTGATTATCAATCTCATTTTGCACGATAGGATCATCAATGGATTGCGGAGATCCATCGGATTGCAATGAGCCCAAACACGGCCTCATTTCAACTATTTTTACTCATAGTGCGATACAGTAAAGACTGGATAAGTGCAAGATAGGTTTTACTGGATAAATGACTATCCTCACCACTGAGGAGGTCCCCCCCCCCCCCCTTGACGCACAGCTAGCGAGCAATGTAATTGGATCCTAACCGATTCTTTCACTCTCTGAGTCCTTTTTTACGTTCGACACACAATAGAAACCTCGACTGGATAACTGCAATGTTTGGGTCCCGATTTTCTTGCACTTATCCAGTCCTTACTGTAGCACTTCTCACAGCTGCCGAATTGAGTCATGTTTGCACTCATTTTCACGGGAAAAACCTTGCCAATTCGTTGACAACACTTCCGTAAACATACATTGGCTAGAATGTAATCATTATTATTATTATTATCATTAATGAAAGAAATTTCGAATAAGCACGTAAGTTCCATCCATGAGTCTATGCAGAGATTGAACGGTATTTTGTACTTGGAAAAATTATGATATGGCGTCAGTGGAAAAAATCATTAAGTAACGCGTTAAATGGCTCGCGAAGCCCTATCAATTTTTAATATTTCACGGTCGATCGGTCGGACGACCAGCCCTCAGGCGTCGTTTAGAAAGAAAAAAAAGACGTCCGGGGAAACTTCTTCGTCCGGACGAGAAAATAAAGCAGGCATTAACGACAGAGGAGGAAGTCTCGCTTTGAGCCGGCTTGTAAAGGGCATAATGAAATCTAGCAGCGAGTCTTCCGGCAAAGTTTTCTGCCCGTTTGACTTTTGGAAGAAATTATAAACTGGTAGCGACGAAAGGCCGGATACTCCGTCTTGAACCTCACACTTCCAGGTGCCTCGAATTTACACGACACGATGGTCTAGAGATTTTTCTAATAAAGTCAACTCTACCGCTAGTTGTCTGTCCGTTCCTTTCGGCTTAATTATTCAAATCAACGCTGCTGAATAGAACGAATTATCTAGCTCCTTTTTTCAAAAATATGTCGAACTCCCGTAAGTGGTTCAGGTGTTTCATTCGATTCTCGCCCCTGCGTACACGCGTAAACTTGTCGAAACGTACGCAAACATCGTCGCACAGCGCCGCATTCCCATCGATCGACGGCCCTCAGTTCCAGCTGCATGATATACGAGAGGCTTTGGAAATACGCTGAGACTCGGTACGGAGCCCCGGTATGCTCGTGTGTTTGCCTTCTTTCTCCCATCGTGGAACGAGCTATCGACACGAGCTCTACGTATCGATGCCGCTCTAAAGGGAACAGTTCTAAAAGAAACGCTAACTCCTATCGGTCAGACGGCGGGACCACAGTTCCATTGAAAAGTACATCGAACTTCGTAATCGAGCTGGTAGTTATTCGAATAACGAATCGTATATTTTCCTTGCTTCTACTTAAAGACTATTAAAATGTTAACCATTTGAAAAATTCACGTTTCCGTTCTTCGCTCTCCCCGCTTCGCGGTGGTTAAGAATCACTCGGCCAACCCCATGGGCAACCACCCTCGGGACTATTCTTCGTCGGTCCCGAGCGGTACACAAGAGGGCGTGTAGGTTCGAAAAACAATGGCTCGTGTACAAGCGGACGATCCTAAGGCAGTGTCTAGTCGCGTTTTGTGCACGTACACGCAAGCTGTTCCACCGTGTGCTTTCATACCGCTTCCTCTGTACGCGTCCTTGCGTGGGTGGTGCTGGATGGTTGTGTTTGCACAGGCTCTATACACGAAGAAGTGCAATCAGGGCTTACAAAGGTTGTAGCATTTCATAAAGGTCACATCCACAACCTTCCTCTCTCCCTGGGGGGTATTAAAATCAACCCCTATGCCTCCGACGTGCCTCGACGAGGTTCCCGGTTTTTTTCCCCTCCGCTCCCTCTCTTACGTGCCCCCCTCCCACCCTTGATATCTTCGCGTATCAACGGTTCATCCGTGTGTTTGTTGTCGTTTATTTGTGTAAGTTTGTTGTCTATCGACAGAAACTTAGGCGCACGATTCGAACTCTGAAGGAGTCGTTACGGCTAACCGCTCGCACGCCTCGAGACTCGGGCAGTTAGTTACAATCGCGCGAGAGATTCACAGCTACGATTCTGCTGCCTAGAATCTAAGATTATTATATCGTAAATTGTTAGGCCTGGATCTTTAATCTCAATCCGACTTTGTCGTTGATTCGGGTAATGCACCGGGTGAAGATCAATTGTGTTATTCATGTAATTACGCATCCTTTTTGTTATAATCCCTAAGTTTATAACTTATGTTTATTTTGTGCGCACTCTTCGATTGTTCCGCGTCGTCGTCGACGTGTTGTGGAGACTTTCGCGATTACGAACTTATCGATTCTTCGTTTAACGAATATCCTGAGCTTTTT